CCGAGAGGAGGGGGAGGGCTGGGGGCCATCGGGTGGCTGGCTCGAGCTATGCCAGGTGCAGGGTCTGCTAGCTGGGTGTTGGCAGGCTTGCACCTGGCACGGGCACCGTAGCCAGCCCGTGCCCCTTTAAGGGGTCCGGGGCCGGGAGGGGGGCAATAGTTTCCCTGGTGTTCCCTAGTAAGTTCAAACTAGGCTTAATCCTCGTAAAATGAGGTTTTCCTAGTTCGAACTAAGCGCTCCGCTAGTTCGATTTAAATTCGAACTAGCGGAGCGCTAGTGTAGCGCCTATGAATGTTAGTTCGAACTAACGTCCGTTAGTTCGAACTAACATTGTAGTGTAGACATACCCTATGTTACTTACACAGATTTGGGATTTTATCTGGGTTTATACATAGGGATTTTATCTGGGTGCATGTGTAACGCACACACTTAGTGCGGTTACTGAGCAATGCAAGTTGTACCTAGACCACAGCAACAGTTAAGACCAAGACACCTGTACAATAGAGGGTGGGAGGCAACTGGCTTTTAGCTCAGAGGGTAGAGGCTCCTATACTCAGCTCCAGAGATCCCAAGTTCAAATGCGCCTAGTAGCAGTTACACATGCATAGGGATGTAATATGGGTGTATACATAGGGATTTTATCCCTCCACCTCCCTTTGTTTTCTGTTGCTATCTCACCCTGGGTATGAGATAGCAAACCCTGGGTATGTCTAGACTGCATCCCTCTGTCGGCAGAGGTAGGCAGATTAGGCAGGTCGACATTGCAAATGAGGCAGGGATTTAAATATCCCATGCCTAATTTGCATAAAAATAGCCGCCACATTTTGCCGACTTAGCACTTTGTTTGCAAAAAGTGGCAGTCTAGAGGGAGATCCATTGAGAAAGAAAGCCTTTTTCAACAGATCCCTAATGCCTCCTGAAAGGAGGTTTATAGGATCTGTCGAAAAAGGCTTTCTTTCTCGACAGATCCCCCTCTAGACTGCTGCTTTTTGCTGACAAAGTGCTGAGTCAGCAAAACGTGGCAGCCATTTTTATGCAAATTAGGCACGGGATATTTAAATCCCTGCCTTATTTGCAATGTCGACCTGCCTAATCTGCATCCCTCTGCCGACAGAGGGATGCAGTCTAGACATACCCCCTCTGTCCTATTTTTTTCTTTCCCACAGCCCCTTTATCCCCCCCTCTTCCTCCTTCTGTCCTATTTTTTTCTTTCCCACAGCCCCTTTATCCCTCCCTCTTCATCCTCTTACTTGGTCCCTCCTCTTAGCCCATCTTTCACTACCTCCTGACTTTCTCACAGCTTCAGAACAATGGACCCCTTCTCTTCTGTTCCATCCATCCACTGACAGCTCATCCTAGGTAGGAGCATGATTGACAGGGGTGTTTTCAACATCAGCCATCTAGTCTCCCTCTTGTGCTTTTATAATGAGCCTTCATGCTGGGCTGGTGAGCCTTCCTGCAGTAGCACTGCAGTATTGCTGACTCCCCATTCAGTTCTGCAGGCTGCCACTCAAAATCGCATTTGGGGATTGTCTGTATTTAAGGTCAGATCCTGAAGTCTTACTCAGCTTTTGTCCTCGCAGAAGTCAATGCACCACAACACTTCCAATGCCTCCAGGTGGATTTTGCCTAAATAAAAGTTAAGATTTGGCCCATTGACTTGAATGAGAGTTTTGGCAGAGTAGGGGAAGAGCAAGGACTGAAGGATTTATCCGTTGGCATGAAACAATCCAAGTTCCGGTTTAGGTTATAGCAGGTAAAAACCCACAATGGGGCACTGCAGACCCACTGAGATCTTCGCTGGGAAGTTGATACAAGTAGCTGAAATGTCAGGGGCCGCAATATCTGTATAGCAAATGTACCAATCAGGTGGCCCTGCAGTTACAGGCATTCTGTACCAGAATAGCTAACATATGCCTGTAGCTGTAATCCAGCTCTAAACCCTAGAGCCTCTGCAAACAGCTCTAACTTTGGAGTAAATGTGCCCTCTAGTCTGCTGTGCTTGTAACATGAAAACAAATGTCTTTGCCTCTCTTTCCTGGCATTCCTTATCTAAAAGTGCGTCTGCACTGTACTCGTAGCGCGAAATAAGCTATGCAGTTTGAGCTACGCAAATTGCATAGCTTATTTTGAGTCAATTTGGAAATAGCTTATTTTGTAATCTGGCGCTGTCTACACAGCAGAACGTCGGAATGTTAAGACGTAGGAGATCTATTTCGGGATACCTCCAGTATCCCGAAATAGCTCCACAGTGTAGATGTAGCCTAAATGGCAAGGCTTTGCAACATGTGCTGATGAGTTTACTGTTTAAAATCAACTGCTTGTTTGCTTTTGGAAATATCCCCTATGCAGACGATGAGGTAACAGTGGGGAAATTTTATGCCACTTTCCTGATCCAAGAGTATTTCCGGAAATTCAAGAAACGTAAGGAACAGGGCCTCGTGGGCAAACCGTCGCAGAGAAATGCTCTCTCCTTGCAGGTGAGTGATGGGCCTGGGTGCCACAGGAATGAAACATGGACACAGAGCTGTAGGTTTAATAAGTTTGTACAACTCTTTAACCTTGTTACATTCAAGGACCCTTGGCCATGCCTCCTTCCCAGCAAGGGCCACCCACTTTGGGGGCTGTACTGAGCCACTGACAGGCCCCCCGTTAGAGGGGACATTGGCAACACCTTGAGCTGCCACATCAGCCCCTTCAGATAGACATTCATCTGTCAAAGGCCAGGCACCTTTCCTTATGCTGGTGGAATGCAGAGAATCATGTTCATAACTGATAAATGTATTTGTAATGTTTTGGAAGTGCTTTGGGTTCCTTTTGGAGAGCTGGTACCAGATGAATGTAAACTCGTTACTGTTGTCATGTTTCATCCTAAATCCTTCCGAGGAAGGAGTCATTACGGATAGGGATGTTAAGTAGCGATTGATTTGCTAGTCGAGTAGTCGATGGAATTTCCATTGACTACTTGACTGGTTGATAAGCACTTCCATATTCCGCCTTTGAAATGTACAAGAGCCCCAGCGGAGGCTCTTGTGCATTTCCAAGTTGGAACTCAATGTGGAGCCCAGAGCCAGCGGGAAGTCCCGCTGACTCCAGCGGGCTCCATGCAGGTGCTTTTACTTTGAAATGCACAAGAGCCCCAACAAGGCTCTTGTGCATTTCGAAGCAGAAGCACCACGTGGAGCCTGGGGTCAGCAGGGGACTCAGAGTCCTGCGCTGGCCCCAGGCTCCATGAGGGTGCTTGCTCTTTGAAATGCACAAGAGCTCCACCCAGCATTTCAAAGTGGCAGCACCACATGAAGCAGCTCACCCCAGGCTCCGTGCAGCACTGCCACTTTTAAGTATCCCCCCTTCTCCGCTCCCCTTGCTGCCTCTGTCTAATAGAGGCAGCAAGGGGGGAGCAACTAGTCGACTATCCTTTCGACTATCCCATAAGCATTTGCTTATCAGATAGTCAGCCAGTCAACTAGTCCTTTACATCCTTAGTCAGTGAAGGTATCTGGCAGTTAAAAAACAAGGCAAATGCCTGGATTCAAGAGGCACCATAATATGAGTCCTGGGATCTAGTCTCAGATCTGTCACTCATTCACTGTATGGACTGCTAGATTGTGTGTCAGAGACTTCCACTGTGTTTCTGAAAAAAGAGAATTTTGATTACAGCTACACAAGACAGAGCAAAACCTCAGCTTTATATACTTCTGGAACTGTTACAGTAAGAAAGAGACAAACCACGGGACACCAAGCAAACAATGTGCCATGTCAGAAATACATGTTGTACATAGTACCAGTATAGGACAGCATTGCTGTTTCTAGAACAACACTAATTGAGACACGTTCCAATGAATAAGATTTGGTAAATGCTGAGTATAATTTCTGGCTAAAAGTTCTGGATCTGGGTGCCAAAAATTCAGCTCTTCACTCTGTATTTAAGCTCCTGAATAAACTTGGCCTGATTTTCAAAGGTGCTGAGCTCCCGCTGACTTCAACTAGAAGTGTAGGAGCTCAGCTCTTTTATTTGTGTGCCTAAATGTGGATTTAGGAGCCAAACCCTAGAGCACCCATGCTTGCTCATTTAGGCCTGTATATTTATGTGCATATGCTGTACCTGTTAAAACAAGCACCTGATAATGAAGACTCCTGAGTCCTATGGTCAGTTCTGCCTGAAATTTGCTATTCAGCCTTTGGCACCTTAACTTTTCTATGAGTTTGTCTCTCCACCTCTAAAAGGGTTAACAGTAGCTGCTGACCTCACAGGGCAGTGATGAGGTGAAATTAATCAATGTTCAGAAAGCGCTTGGTGGCAGATCATGTGCACTGTAAAGTGATAGTATTTTTATTGCTCACCTAACTACATAGAGATAGAATGTTACATGGTTCTGTTTTCCAGGCTGGGTTGCGCACATTGCATGACATTGGGCCGGAGATCCGACGGGCGATCTCAGGAGACCTGACAGCTGAAGAGGAGCTAGATAAGGCCATGAAAGAAGCTGTTTCCGCTGCCTCAGAAGATGATATCTTCAGGGTATGGGATGCTGTTGTGATCCTTCTTTGCCTCTTGAATGATGTGCTAAGCCCAATACATTAGATTGGGAACTGCTAAATGGCCTTTTGCTTATAGCATTCATTTCTGTCTCTCTCTCTCTCTCTCTCTCTCTCTCTCTCTCTCTCTCATGCTACATCTACACTACGAGCCTCTTCTGCAAGAGGAAATGCATATGGAGCGCTCATTTGAATATGTCATGCTCTCATTTGCATTTCCTCCTCAGATCCCTTTTGCGCAAGAGGTTTTTGTGCAAAAATACACCATGTAGATGTCTCCTTTTTGTGCAAAAACCCTCTTTTGTGCAAGAGCCATTCTTCCTCATTTTTCCTCGATAGTTTTTTACTCTATTTTTCCTCAGTGGGAGTTTTGCCTGAGTAAAGATTAAAAATAATTACAGTGAGAATGTCAGGATTTGACCCACAGAAATTAAAAAAGCAAATCAGGTCATCTCCTCCATGTATGTATTATTGATCCTCTACATTCTCCAGTGCTTTGTTTAGTCCAATTTTAAGTGACCCAAGCAATAGTTCTTCTAGCACTTTCCTTGGGAGATGATCTCCCCCCAATACATCTCACAATGGAAAACTTTTTCTGAACAATCAGCCTAAATTTTCTTTTTCTGAGTTACGCCCTTTGGGCAACCCTCAACATTCCCTCTCCCTACTTGGTACCTCTGCCTTTCAAATACTTATAGAACATTACTGTATCTCCCCTTCCTTATGCCTTAGTCAAGTTCTACTTACCAGTCTCTTTAAACCTTTCCTCACATGTCCCTCCTGCTGGTTAATCATTTTTGTTGCTGTTGTCTGAATTCTTTCTAGTAAGTGGGTTTCTTTCTGGTATTTGCTCACCCAGAATTATACACAATAGCTCAGATTTTCCATTCCACCCAAACTCCGCTCAACATGGGAATGGGGGTGCAAAGATGGCCCTTCCCACTTGTAGGCCTTTTTATATTCTGGAGTTGGCCCTTGTGAAATATCCGAGCATTACATTACAGCTCATCCACAACAGACCCGTCCTTATCCCCTCACAGTCCCTCTGCCAAAGATGTCCATAGTCTAAGGATATTTCCTAGTAGGGAGGTGCTCTGCTTGTAGAGGACCTTATCACATTGCCAAATTGGCCTCAAATTTTCTTTCTCCAAACGTTGCTTTCAGGCACAGTGACAAACACCAGGCCTGGGGAATTGTCATCATTTGCACCTCTGTCAGAGGCTGGGAATGGGTGACAGAAGAGGGATTACTTGATGATTCCCTGTTCTGTTCTCTCCCTCTGGGGCATCTGGCATTGGCCACTATTGAAAGACAGGCTACTGGGCTAGATAGACCTTTGGTCTGACCCAGTATGGCTGTTCTTATGTTCTTATGCACCTGTTCTCACCATTAGAAAATGTTTTCTGTTCTGCTGACAGAGGGCTGGTGGCCTGTTTGGAAACCATGTCAGCTACTACCAAAGCGATGGCAGGAGCTCGTTCCCTCAGACATTCACCACCCAGCGCCCTTTGCACATCAATAAAGCTGGCAACAACCAGGGAGATACTGAGTCCCCATCACACGAGAAGCTAGTGGATTCCACCTTCACTCCAAGCAGCTACTCATCTTCAGGCTCCAACGCCAACATCAACAATGCCAACAATACTGCCTTGTCCCGCTTCCCCAACCCACCCAGCTACCCAAGTACTGTCAGCACAGTGGAGGGGCATGGCACACCCTTGTCACCAACCATACGAGTGCAGGAGGCCCCTTGGAAACTCACTTCCAAAAGGTAAGCTCCAAAGAAGCAATGGGCTAATGAAACCAACATATAGGTACAATTTTAAAAAATGATATTGCATAGTTGAAGTCATGCTGGAGCAAGATGCTGTTGCACGTGGGATTTGAGGTGAGCTCACAGGATTGTCTCTTGCTGCCTAGATCAGCAGTGCTACAGAGGCACCACACTCAGCCTCTGGAAAGAAGGACTGCTTAGCACTACCACTGATCCACATTCTCCATCTGCCAGGCTTTTTCAGAAAGCAGCATAGCTGGTATCTGCAGGGACTTGCATCCTAGGCTGTAGGGAAGTGTTTTATCTAATGTAAATTTAATAGAGAAGGAATGAGAGGAGTCCATTCATATTTGCGAACACTAGAGAAAAGACTCTATACCAATATTCCTCAATTAGCAAATGACAACTCCCAGGGAGCTGATAAAATGCATTCAGAAGGAATGTGAGGCATTAAAAATGTATTATAATCTAAAGCAAAGGAAATGTCACCCCCAATCTATCCACACAGCCTTTCCCTTCAAAGGCAGATATTCACTGGATAACCTGTCGAAACACACGTGAATGAATTCTGTCATAGGCTTATCGCTGTTATCATTCATGCATGTTTGATTTGGTTATAATAAATGTAAAGGGGAAGAGGGATCATGAATATTTCTGACTTCAAATAAACTGTTGTCAGCCTGAAAAGTAGGGATCTTAAAAAGCAGAGGGGGGTTGTAAATGTGTAACTGCTGAAATTTTCAGCGGTTACACATTTACACGGGGGGAGCTCCCCGGGAGCTGGTGCATGCGGGAAGCCAGCTTTTAAGCCAGCTCCCCATGTGTACCAGCTCCCGCAGAGCCGCCTACCCCCTTTGCTCCCTCCCATGCCGCCTCTGTATGAGAGGCAACAGCACGGGGGAGGCTGGTATATGTGGGGATCCAGCTTAAAAGCCAGCTTCCCCCTCACCACCACCCCTGCTGCTGCCTCTGATGCAAAGGCAACAGCACAGAGGAGGGGCCTTGCATGTAACCATGAAGGTTAATGGATAAGCCCAGGCTCATTGGTTAACCTTTTAAATGTGTACACTAGCACATCGCTACTGCAAAGGTTGAGAAACCCTTGTTCCAAAGAAGAAGAGAAGAGAATAGCAAGATGAGAATGTCAGAGGCGTGTGATTTTGCTTGAATAAAGAATTGAGTGGCTTTTCCATTTCCCAGCCTTTCTTTTAGAAGCTATAGGAATTTCACAGCTATTTGTTTCCATCCTCCTTCTCCTTACTTGTGTTTTTGTTACATTCCTGACATAGTCTTCTTTTTCCCCCTTGCTTCCTTGGTGCACTAGGACACATTACTATGAAACATTGGGACGGTAGGTGTTTCCTCTCATGCTGTAATGTTCTCCAGACTGAAGACTCAGTGTTGCTCCTGTTGAAGTTAATGTCCAAATTCCCCATTGTTGTTTCACTTAAGCCCTTCCTTTCAGTACCAGCAGGATTAAAAGAAGTAACAGGATAGCTTCAGAGTTATGAACACCTTGGGAATGGAGGCTGTTCATAACTCTGAACTGTTCATGTTCTGAACAAAACATTATGGTTTGCAGCTGGACTTAGACTTAATACAACTTTGAAACTTTATATGCAGAATAAAATGTTGCTTTTCCTTTATTTTTGTTAGTAGTAGTTTACATTTAACACAGTACTGTACTGAGTTTGCTGTGTGTTTTTCTGTTTCTGCCTAATTGCATACTTCTGCTCAGTTAGTAACTCTGGTGTTTAACAGTAATAATATTGTGGTATCTTCAGGAGACATTCCCCACCTGGATTCCCCTAACCATACTGCAGACAATTAAGTGAACTCCAGTAGCTGGATTACCAGGATGTGGAATTTTCACCATATGATCTCTGACCTGACCTCTGGTCATTGCAGAGTGAAGCCTCTTTTAGCCTGTTCTCACCAAAATAACGTAGGGTTTGGCTAGAGCTTTGCCTTGTGGGCTAATGAGGGAATGACGTTGTTATTCAGGACTTTTTCTTCGGCTGGTCAGCTATGATTGCCAGTCATCCACTGTCTGATCACTCACTGTTCCATGGATTTTCTTTTCAACTGACCCAAGGCACCATACATATACTCTTTTCCCTCCATTCCACCAACTGGGTGAACCAATCACCAAAGGACCATGTGTCTCCACTTCTCCTCCTATTCCCACATGGTGCTTCTCTGCCACGCTGCTCCCGGCTGACAGCACAGGTAACAGAGTGCAAATATCTGGACTTCAGAACTTTGAAGCTCCCCGTGGTGGCATTTCAGAGATCCAGGCTCTGTTCAGCTGCTTGCACTGTCAAACTGCAGCCTAATGCCAGGGAGGAGGAGGTACAGATGGAATTCACCCACCACGGAATATGAATAGCACTCATTGAATTCAAAGGCAGTTACTCATATTCTGTGATGGGACAATAAGGACTAAGGATGGGAAAGGCCTGAGAGAGAGGAAGAGAGAAGATGAAAGAGAGCAGAGAGAGAGAAATGGCACGGTGAGTGCAACATGGCAGAAAGAGACCATAACCCTCACAGCTGAAAGAGGCAATATAAAGTCAAGGACACGTCCCTTTGAAATTCCTTACCAGCACTTTGTGACAGCCTTAAAAGAAAATCCACCCCACGCTTTATACGGATCCCGATGGGACAGCACTTTAGGAATGTAGTCAGTGCCCTGTGAATGCTCCTGCAGTAAAGGCATGATCAATTATATTCATAGCATGTGCATCACTGCTGATTCTTGATGCTTTGATTAAGGAGCTCCAGCTAAGTAAGGACAAAACAAAGGGTCAGTTGTATTTATGAGCTGTGCTTATGTCTTTCATCATTGTGATGGCTCAGCGCTGGGCTATAACAACAAACACAGACAGATGGAGCCCTGTCACTTTTGTCTCAATAGCATCTTTTCTTCACAATCTCCAAATTTTGACTTGCCTTTTTTGCTTGTTAGCGCCTCTTCCAGAGACAGCCAGCTGGCAATCGTTTGCCAAGAGGAAGTGTCCCAGGATGAACCTTACGATGAGAATTTGAATGAAGACATAGAGTACTGTAGCGAACCAAGCCTGATCTCTACTGAAATGTGAGCTTTGCAGTATTGAGGCCAAGCTGTCTGGGGTTTGCTGGTTTGGGGGCTGTGTGGTATTTTTCTTTAAAAGACCCTTCATGAGCTCAGCCTCGGGAATGGAACTGGGGGAAGACTAGGAAGAAGAAACAGGTTTGCAGATGGAACACTGCACCAATCTAGGTGTCAAATGATGAAATAAAGGTGCTTCAGCCCAGGCAAATAGTATTGGGATTGCAATTTTTTTCTGTGACTTTTGAAGTCCTTTTCCTCCCAGTGGTACCACTGACAGGTGGTACCACTGGCAGGTGGTATCTCCAGGCTGCTTCCCCATCCATTTTTAATGTCTAAAGTTCACAGATTTCATCACCAGAGTTTTCTCTGTCCCACAGTTTTGGATGCTGTCTCTGGAGCATTTCGATCTAGCAAACTAACAAGTTAGCTACATCCCTTCTTGGAGACTAGAATGTTATTCCACGTTCCCTTTTCCTCATCTCCTGCCAAATAGTGCTGCCATTCCCCAGTAGGAGGGATATCCCATCCAGCATGATTCTGTGCTCAAGTGATGGTTCTAAACAATCTGCTTTTCATTCCAGGCTCTCATACCAAGACGATGAAAACAGGCAACTGACTCCACCTGAAAACAACAAAGCGGAGAGCACCAGGGCATCTCCAAAGAAAGGGTTTCTTCGCTCCTCGTCCCTGGCCATGTACAAGCTGTGCTTTCTGAGCCCTTGAGTGATTTCTTACACCTTGCAGTAAAATCCTGTAATGCATTCCCTCAGATTTTGATGTGCACTTTGTTTCCCAGGAAGAACATGACACAGAATGCAGAATAAGATCTTGGCAATGCACATGTCTTACCAGCAGGCATTTCCATTGCTTATGCATTGTTCACTCAGTGTATAAGTGTATAGTTCTCTGGCTGGCGCCCTTGAGTGATTTCTTACACCTTGCAGTAAAATCCTGTAATGCATTCCCTCAGATTTTGATGTGCACTTTGTTTCCCAGGAAGAACATGACACAGAATGCAGAATAAGATCTTGGCAATGCACATGTCTTACCAGCAGGCATTTCCATTGCTTATGCATTGTTCACTCAGTGTATAAGTGTATAGTTCTCTGGCTGGCAAGCATCTGTGTGAATCAGTTAAGTCTGCATGTGAACTAGGGGAACTTATTAGAGCTCTGTAGGCCCAAAAGAACCTCTTCATAAAACCAGCTGATGGAGTATGTGGCAGTCTTTTCTTTAAGTATTGAACAGAGAGAAATAAAATGTTTTTCTTTCCTCTCTTGCAAAAGAAAAATGATGAATTTCAGTACAAGCATATATACCAAGAACCTGCAGACTAAAGTCAAATGTGGTCCTTTGACTCATGCAGTTTCAGAGAGGTACCAACCCCCTCCCATCAGTGAATTCTTATTTTCTTGTAACATGAGTAATTTCCACATCTAGCACCATTACTACTCTTTTTGCCACACCATTCAGAAATCTTGTTCTAGAATAACTAAGAGGATCAGCAATAGCAGTTTCTGGTAGCACTGTTGTTAAAAAAAATCCCTGTCCAGAATATGTGCAAGCTTTCAGCTATCTTGGAACATGGCTGTTGGTCAGACTTTATGGTGCTTGAAATGTTTTTCAGATACAAGGTGCAAGGTATCAAGTGCATAAGGGCCTATAATGAGGACTTTTTCCTCTGTACCCGTAGAGATATTACATACTGATAGCATGCTCAGGTCAGAGTGTCTCTGTAGTGTGGCGTGAATGGTGATTTCAGTTGTGTGCCATTGACATTGCAGGTCGAAGAGCATCTTTTCATTTGGAGTGTCTGAAGAGACAGAAAAACCAAGACGTCGATGTCTCACAGAAGACAGTTCTGCCATTGCATCTGGTACACCATCAGGTAAGACTTAATTAATTAAGCTGAGGCCCACCAACCGAGCTGGCCATTTAACATCTGCACTGTTTCCAACGGCACCACTAGCAAATCTTCCTGAGATAATTTTTTGCCAATGTTATCAAAAGTTGGTTTTGTGCTCCTGTTAGCTTCTGGTTTCAGGGTCTTCATAACTCCCAGAACAAAGCTACTAGAACATGTTCTCCAACATTAGCAACATCAATCAATATATGACTTACATCGGGGCAGAGACTAGCTAACATCTCATGGTACAAAGAGCCAAATCCTACTTAACTTCATTGACTTTGATGAGACTATTAATGTGAGTAAATGGAGAGAACCCATCTCTACTTTAGAACCAAAATAATGTTACGCAAATCATTTTTGAAAAGTAAACTGATTATGTGTAACTAGTCAGTTTCTCTAAAGCCCCGGCAGAGACAAACAGCAACTTAGTGCTTAGTACATAGGTCAACAGTCCAATGCAAAAAGGCCTTGAAGAAGACTGTATTGTGAAAGAATGTCCTCCATTTCTTTGACTGACAGGAACTCATGGTGCTGCGATAGAAAAATCAATCCAGTAGTCAACCCTGTCCACATTCCCTCTAGTGTAATAGGTGTTCATGCTACAAGAAAGCTCCAATATCATAATACTAGCCAATTAGCCCGTCATAAGACGGGATTTTCAGGTCTCTCCTCCATGTCGGTCTTCTCTCCTGAGTCTCCGGTCTCTCGCTCCGTCTCTCTCTCTCTCTCTCTTCTCCTCCTACTGCCTCCCCCTCTCTCTCTCAGCTCTCCTCCGCCTTCTGCCTCTCTCTCCGTCTCTCTCTTTGTCTCCTCCCCCTCCTGCCTCTCACATTCTCTCTGCTCTCCTCTGTCTCCTCTGGGCGTGTATGTCACCACTCCATCCCCATTTGCCTCCCGCCGTGGCGCTTGGCTGACTTCTGTGCCACTCAGCCGGACCACCACGGGGAAGCCCAAACGGCTGCTTGCTGCCCCGCAGCGGCCCGGCTGAGGGGTGCAGAAGTCAGCCGAGTGCCACGGTGGGAGGCAAAGGAGGATGGAGCGTTGACGTGCGGTGTGACGGTCGCTCCCGGCTTCGGTCGC